GAGCCCGCCGGTCCATCGCGATCCTCCGAGCTGTCCCGCACCCTAAATGTGTCCAGCCCGTGCCCCGCCTGGCCTCTATTGCCAAGTCATCATCTGAAATGTTACGTCTCAGGAGCCCTAGTGGCGCGGTGGCGACAGTGCTGGGCGGAACACCGCCAAGTCCGCGGTTAGAACCCTGCCGCTCCGTGGGAGATAGAAGGCAGACGCTAGATTCTTGCACTAACTCTTCCCTGCCCTTGACTCCAAAACCTATCCATTCCTTCCCCTCTTGACCTCCGTCGGCCCCCGAGTGTTCCTCCTACACAGCAGGGCTTAGTAGGGGCAGGATTGGCACCCACTGAGAGGTCAGCGGAGCAGGAGGAATGGCTATCACTGGCCTAATGCACATCTTGACAACGAAGTGTGAATGTCAACAGTTCAATGTGGTCGTCATGGTTATTGTGCTGCCTATCTGGGCAATGCAAACTGTAGAACAAATCGGCTTGATTTTACTATCTTTTGTTTACTTACTATGTTAGACACTGGGGTAACGAACCCTGGGTGTGAAGGGGTGGCCTGAGACCGCAACCAGTGTAGATGATGGCTGTTCGGCTTTTCTTGGCAGGAGTTCATTTCCACGCAAGGGGACATTATGTACAACTGAGCGGAACTCTGTCCAGCACCATCTTCACACTTAGTGCTACGTTGGGGCCCATTCTTGTAGCCTCTGATCATCTCCTGGAAAGCCCTTCACCTTTTTGCTTACCTTCCACCAAGCATCAGGACTTGGGCCCTCTTGATAACATATTCAAAGAACATGAGAGGAAGTTTTGCTATCTTAGATGCTAAAACTTTAGATGCTAAGGTGCATTAGTTTTTCTGTATCCTCAATATTCTTCACCAACAGCACAATTCAAAGAGAGATTCTTCTTCCGTCTTCCTTATTCGTTGTTCAGCTGTTGAATGCATAGAAGAGTACCATGGCCTGATCGGGTGCACCTTAGTCCCCAAGATGACATCTTTGCTCCTTAATAGTTTAAGGAGTTCTTTTGCAGCACGTTTTCATAATGCAATGTGTCCTTTGGATTTTTTTTTTTTTTCTGATTGCTGCTTCCAGGAGCATTGGCTATGG